TATAAAACATTCTTTTCAATGGAATCAACTTGCCTTTTTTGGATGCTTTTCGTCGTGGTCGATATCGATCCTTCCCACAGAACCGTCATTGCATCAATTCTTCGTCGTCCTTCCAAAAAATCATGCAGTTGTTTTCGCAAACATCAATCTTTTTATACGGTAGTCCCAACTTCCGCATCAGACTCTTCGTCTCATAATACGATTCTGTTGCAGTATTACCTTCTGGTAGATATTGTGTGAACATCTGACTAAACCCGTCCATACATTTCTCCGGAGTATTGTAATCAGTCTTCATATTCATCAATTGTGACGACAACGACAATCTCGATAGACCTTCAATGCATCCTTCATATATTGGAGTGCTCGATGTATTAAGGATCTCGTAGAACCTTTTAGCTTCGAAATTTGGCTCTTCTTCCTCCCCGTAAGACGGTTGACCGACATTGGCAAATGCATCAATCACCATTTCTGAATACGGATTTCTTTCTCCTTATTGAAATTCGTTTGGCTGCTCATCGATAATGACTTGATTAACTACATCATATGAAGATGTCGTGTCCAATGAGCTAGCCAAACAAAATAATTGGACATGAACCCTCTTCGGTATAGATGATTCCAGACTTGTTGAATACACCGCCATTTCTTATTTTCACACTTCACACACGGACATGGAAGTTTCGACCCTTCGTATATGACGGTTGAGATGTAACAAACGTCATAAACGCTTGCAACCCTTCTTCAAAATCTTTGCATATTTGATTTGTGTATGGATCTATTCTTTCATACATCCATCTTCTTGCATTGAAAGACATTTGTTGGTGTTTTTTTCGTTTGCATATGGTGATCTAAACGCGCGATGGGTGAAATATTGTTGCGAATTGCGACGGACGTCGGCATTCGCATTTAACACGTTTTCACCTACAATGCGACGGATACCGACGGACTACAAAAAAAATGACGGAATACGACCGTCTGCGACGGACATTCTGAAGCAAAAAAAAAACACGTTTCTTACCTAATATACGACGGAGACGGTGCGTCGGATATCCGTCGCTAAAAACGACGGATTGCGTCGAACGTTTCCGTTCGTAACACTTGCGACGGATCATACGGTCGGTATCCGTAGCCAATAGTTACGACGGATGGTCCGTCGTATAATTCCGTCAGAAGTCCCTCGTTTTCTGTCGCAAAAATTTTGCGACAGAATAGTCCGTCAAATTCCGTCGTCTTATTTTGCGACGGAAACCTACGGATTACGTCGAATTGTTTTACGTCTGTATTCCGTCGTTAGTCGTCGTTAATTTTATTGCGATGCACAAATCCGTCGCAATGTCCGTCGTCTTTTACCTTTTTTTTTGTAGTGTGATATTGCATATGCAGCTGATAACACGTATTTTGTGTGATGTTTTGATATAGGATGTCTAGCGTATTTCACTCGATTTTACATATTTGTAGACATTCTAGGGCACATTTAGTTTCGATATTGGTTGGTTGTGTTCTTTGGTGTTTAAGCAGGAATCCACACATAAAAAAAAGCAAAAAGAGTTGAAAACATGGACTACGGAACATCACGGACGAAACAGGAACATTTGGAGTGTCTCTAGGGAAAACATGAAGCTCAGAAAACGTCAGATCTTGCAAATCCAATAACTTTCATTCTACAAGTCCAAATCATGCATTCTCTACATCATTAGAAATATCTCTTCGATATCTACCAAGATCACCCAAATCCGATGTCGGGGCAGGAAGTTATGAACAAATTTATGAAGCTCATCAAAACTGCGATGTGACACGATCGTGTCACTTGTGTAGACACGATCAGGTCACTTAAAATCCGGAAATTTTCTAAATTTTCCCAAAAGAAAGAGAGATAATTAGGGTTAGCCTCCAAGGTCGAATTCATTCAGACTTTTGACAGGAAAGATACCCTAGAGAACACAAAAAGATGGAGATTATCAAGAGGCAAGAGATCGGAGTAGAAGACGGAGATTACGAAGCCGGAAAATCGACTAAACATTCTTCCTTTCTTCTATTTTACGATGTTTTGTTGTATTGATATGAACCCTGTCAACTCGATGATTAGCGAGTAGTTCCATAGCTGTAGGTTACGGATTTACTATGTAGAGATCTTTGGTTTTTAATTCCAGACTTTGTGAATTTGTTTATTCTATTCAGTTTATTAAATTGTTCTTAATGTGTTCGATCTTGTTAACCGCTTGATTGAATAAACTTAGGGTTTTGATTCACATAGACATATGTGATTCTAACTTGGAAATAATTCAATAAATAGAACAGATATCACATCGAGAGATGGGTATTTGCCTATGAATCATGATAGCGTTCGTTCATGCATCCAGAGTTTTAGACTATTGAATCGGGAGATTAGTAGGATTTGTTGGGATTCCTGGGATCTCTACAGCGAATCTAATTCCTAAGAGATCGGTTCTAGGGTTTTCACAGCGGATGTAAAACAAAAATTTTGATGAAACCCTAAAACCTATCATGTATGATCTTGTAGAAACGTTAGAACGCTTACCTCAATCGATCCGGGGCCTGTATCAATTGATGTGTTCGTCCGATCACTGTAGGCAGGAAGAATACCTCGCCCTCTACACGTATCCACACGGCAGAAAGGGTTCCAACGGTTGGAACTCGTCTGCTAGGACTGAAGAACACTTTCTCCTTTGCGCAAGAGTTTCAGGGATTAATCTCTTAGGTTTTTCACTTTCAACCTTTCAAAAAAGTCTGAAAGTCGTGCCAAAGAGTTTAGGAGGCGTTCCCGAAAATTCCTTGCCCTTAAAACCGTAATTTGGGTGAGTTAATGAAATCCCGACGTCTGGACCGATCGGTCTGGAACCATTTCCGGACCGATAAACTTTTGGACGTTACCTCTGGACCGATCGGTCCACGTGTCTGGACCGGTCGGTCTGGCCTCCGTTCCACCGGAAAATTCTCGTCTTTTCTCGCGCGTTTGTCCTTTTCTGTGTGTATGACCCTATAGGCTCATCTGATATAGCAGTATAACCCGAAATCTCTATTTCGGTTATACAAGTCATAGGCGGTCTCTAGCAAGACACTATGACTACCTATCTCGAATAGAGTTTATTCGTGATCTTATGAATGCCAGTGATGATTCCGTTTGATGATCCTTTTGTATCACGATATCATATGTCGAACATAAGGCATGAACAAGTCACCTTATCTGATTCGACTGCTTTCTCGTTCACTGAGTTCGACTATGTGAAATAGATGACGTTCGTCTATAGTGCAGCCACACATTTCTACAGTCTCGCTCACACGAGGGGCCCAGCGATATCTCTCTCTTTTACGAGAGGTACAAATCCCGTCTTGACTATTTACAATCCAGCACATGATTCGTTTCGTACCTGATACGCCTTTATAGTCCTCCTGTTACGCAGGACGTTTGACATATTCAAAGTACACAACTCCTCATGTTGGATTCCGTAGATATCTCAGGTCTTAGGATCCAATCATGGAACCGTCATATGAGATTCAAGTCATGATGCATGTCTATGTGATAATCTCATGCGGGTCAATCTAGTATTTCGTTCTCCAACGAATACCTATGATTGTGATCGTATCCAATACCTATGATCATATCAATCACACATCATACTAGTCTTATTACATCATTATTCCCACAATGACATACGACTAGGGAGTTTAGTATTGTTCATAACAACACATGGATCTCATAACATATCAAGTATGCAAAACATGTAATGAATAAAACACTTATCCATAAACCATAGAAAGTGTCAATACATCAAATGTATCTAAATAAAACTCGCATAACAGTACATCATAGAGCACTAAACCAACAGGATTAAACCTGGATAGTGAGATTAGACTTGGGAGAGTTAATCTCTAGCTTAGAGCTTGAATTCCCTGGATTGGATAGATAAACCACTAAGTTTGCATCTTTTGAAAGATCCTTGCATGTAAAGCAATCCCGAAGCCTGCAGTGTTCATCATTCATAGTTTACAGTCGTTTTATCGTTTGTTTTGCTACACTCTCTTACACTCATTATTTTTTCTGGATCTAGATTTAGGTTTGGATTTGATTTCTTTGTTTATTTTTGTCCATGTGTTCGACCCTATGTACTACACACGATCCGTACACTTGCGGTATTTGTTGAATCTAGGATATTATTACTTGATCTAATTTCTACACCTAGATTTGCGACATCAAGTTTTTGGCGCCGTTGCCGGAGAACAATTTAGGCAACAGGATTAGATCCTATCTAGTCTGGGTCTTGTTTGTTTTTCTTTTTCTTAAGTGATTTCTCACGTTTTCTTCGTTTGTTGTTGTTTTTCGTATGGTGCACAGGTTTTTCTAGTGCATGACCAGGAGTGCTGGGACATCAGACCTAGTATCTCTTGATCGTGAGCTTGAAAGGACCGTTAGATACATCCGACGTCAACGAAGACAAATGGAGAACGACAGAGATTTTGCTCTTCCCGATGGTGCCGAGGGCAATGCTGACTCAACCTTTGCCAGTACAACACGCCTAAGCACACTAGAGAATACACTCCACTTGATTGCTTTCCCCTGGACTCTCTTGGATGCTGCTTTGGAATGGTGTTACGATCTGACACCCGATTCCATCCACACCTGGGAACAGCTGAAAGTGCAGTTTATGTCAAAAAAATTTCCCAGCTCACCGCACTCAAGCAGCCCTTTCTGGCATTCATTCATTCAAGCAAGATCATGGGGAAAGCCTTTATAACGCTTGGAAGAGGTACAAAGGATACCAGAAGTCTTGCCCTCATCACGGGCTTGACAAGAACTACCTGATCAACACCTTCTTCTGAGGACTCAGAATGGATACCAAGACTTTGATCCGAGCTTCTTGTGGTGGGAGCATCCAGAACAAGTCATTCGCCGAGCTAGAAGAACATATTGAGATGATGGCCCAAGAAGAAGACCTCTGAACGAGTACTCTAGAGATCTGCCAAGAGAATGTAATGATTGGACCATGCAGATGGTTCTCGAACAATTGGCTGTCCTCAATGCTAAGTTCGAAGATTCCAACCGACCCTCTAGGACCAGGCATTTGACGCCAACACAAGAGGAGCTCGGTATGTACGCATTGGATGAGAGAGTCGAAGGTGTGAACTACGTGGCCAATAACTCCTACTCGAACACATACAATCCGGGGTGGAAGAATCATCCCAATCTCTCCTACAAGTCAAACAATGTGGAGAATCTCATGCCGAACAACTTCAGGGCATCCAACAACTCGAACCAGAGGATTTCTCCCAGTTTTGCTTTTCAATCCAGGGGTCCTAATCAGACATCCAACTACAGAGCTCTGGGGCAATCCTATATCAATGCCACACCTCCAGGTAATCCTGAATCCAACCCTGATACACACATTTTGCTTACTACAGTTTATACAGAATCAAGAGAAGGCGAACCAGGAATTCTGAACTCAGTTCGCAAGTATCGATGCTCACTTCAAGCTCATAGACAACCAGATTGCTCAGCTAGCATCAGCCTCTCAAAGACTGTCCGGATCTCTTCCAGGTAAACCTGAGACTAATGTAATACCCCGAAACCCGATCAGAATATTTAATTATTTAAAAACAAATAATTAAATAGAGACGTCACAAAATTACCCAAAGTGAAAGGTACAATGCCGAAGAGAGGCACGAGAATCGTCACATGCGGGAAACATCGAGAAGGAATGATGAAGAAGGAAAAAGAAGAAAAAAAAATAATAAAAAAAAATAATGTGGACTTGGTCAGCCGGACCAAGGCTGGTCAGGGGCTGACCAAGACCACTCAGCCAGACTGGGCTTCGGTGGACGGACCAAGACGGAGAAAAGAAGGAATGTGGACTTGGTCAGCCGGACCAAGGTTGGTCAGGGGCTGACCAGGACCACTCAGCCGGACCAAAAATCTGGTCAGGGGCGGACCGTCAGTGCAAAAATCTGCCACCTCTGCAACAACTTTCCCACGCGATTCTCTCGCGCTTAGGCGGCCCACAACGCACCAAATCGCACCAAACCGACAGTGGGCGACCCTAACTAGTCCCTAGGCTTGGTGTTTCGTCTTCTCTCTCTCCCTAGACTCCATAATTGCTCCCCTAACCTGCTCCAAGAATCATTTTCGGACTAAAAATCTGTTGAAGTAGAAAGAGAGGAAAAGAGAGAGAGAGGAAGAGAAAGAAGGAGAGAAGAGAGAAAGGGAGCTCGTGGAAGTAAGGAGGGACTGTCCTCGAAGGTTTCTAGGAGTTCTTGACGGAGAGGAAACCCAGAAACGTCGCACAAATCCCGGCCAAGACAGATCATAACCGAAACAGAGGTGAGTGGCTTGAGTTGCTTCTGTGTACTCTCGTTTTCATCGTGTAACCGTGATATCTCAATGATTGGTTGCTTGATATTGATAGAGGACATTTCAATGTGAATTTAGAAACAAACGGTACTCAATTTGGTTGAGAAATGAAGGAGATATGAGCGAATGAAAACTGAGAAAAAAACTGGAAATTTCAGAGTCGCTATTTTGTGACGTACAGGGGTTACGAACAATTTTTCAACTTATAGGAGAATTATTAAAACAATATATTGCCTGGGTATTAAATAGGACATCCCAATGAACATTTAGAAACAAACGGTGCGCGATTTGGATAAGAAATGAGGGAGATATGAGCGATCGAAGTCGGACCAAAAACCTGAAAACGCGAAGGCGATGAACTGCCCAGTTCCGGTCCGCCGGACCAGGAACTGGTCAGCTCCGGACCAAGTCCGGGAAAATGTTTTTTTAGTCCGCCAGACCGTGGGAAAGAAGCTGAGGAAGCTTGGTCCGACCCGGACCAGAACCTGGTCCGGCGGACCAAGCCTGTTTTTGACCAAAAATGGTCCGGATGACCAACGAAGCAGGAAACGGACCAAGTGAGAAAAAGTCCTTGTCCGGGGCTGACCAAAAGTCAGTCCGTCGGACCAGATGTGTCCAGAAGCCAAAATCACCGACAGACCAAGGAGAAATGGGGCGAACCAAAAACGAGAACTGGTCCGGGGCTGACCAAACGTCAGTCCGCCGGACCAGACCTGGAAAAAGAAAAATTTCACGTTGAACCGAGGAAACGGGCCGAGAACGAATGACACGTCTTGGTCGGTACCTGATCAGCAGTGATCAGGGGCGGACCAGACCTATCTCATAACAAACCAACGGACCAAGGAAGCTGAACGGACCAGAAGAGAAAGGACTGTGGTCCGGGTCTGACCAGGCTTTGGTCTGTCGGACCAGGCTCGGAGGAAAGAGGAAAATTTCCATTTCGATCGGGAAAAAGGAAACGACCAACGGGGTTGGCCCGGGCCTAACTAGACTTGACCACAGATGGGCCTAACCCTCACCAAAGGACAAAGCGTTGCGATTGGGATCAATCGAACCGAGTTTTTGCTAGGACGTTGCGTGGCGTAGTGAGATGTGCGACATCAAAAAATGAGTGATCATTGCGTGACTATTTGTGGGTAGAATTGCATGGCGTGGAACGGTAACCCGGTAGGGACCGGATACCGTGATACGTATGATTGTACTATGGGAATATTGCACGTTGTGTGCCATGTGTGTAGCTTGCTCGTGCGTACGAGTTAAGCGTGATTGTGTTTGTGGATGGTTGTGGACTCAACCATCAACGTCATGGACTTGACGGGCGTTTGAGACGCGTTTTAGTCGTGTGCGACACGACGGCCAACGTCATGGACTTGACGGGCGTGGATGCGCTCCTAGTCATGGACTTGACTAGGGTATATGGCTAAACCCTATGGTGGACTCCATACGGGTGTGATTATGAATGATGTGATATAATTACGTGTTGTTATTACTTGTGTGTTTCTTGTATGCCATTGTTTTATCACCGTTCTCGCTGGGAACGGGATGACCGGGATCAACCCGGGCTACTCACTAAGCAGTTGTGCTTAGCCCTCGCGGTTATATGTTTTTACAGATCACGAGGATTACGCGTAGTGTACCAGACGACGGCGATCCGAGAGAGGCAGCATCATGTACGGGATTTGTATTTTGGACGATGGGACTTGTATTTCCGCATTTTGTACGGTTTAATTATGACTATTCGGACATGTGTTGTTTTGCGATACTGATCGCGTTGTATTCTCGCTGCTTACTCTGATTTGATTTAAAATGTTTTTTTGGATTTCGTATTTTCGCTTCCGCAATTTATTATTTTATTATATATCGTCCATGTGGCACAACCCGTATACTGTACACGGGTTACGGGTGTCACAACTAACCCCCGTGAACATGTCAAAGCGATTACTTTGAGAAGTGGTAAGCAGGTAGACGCTGAAGACCGACCAATGGTTGAGCAAGGAAAAACCTCGAAGACTGCAGTTGTAGACATCCCCGATGATGAACCTAAACCGGCTTACGTGCCTCCTCCTCCTAGGCCACCACCAGTACCATTCCCATCTTGCCTGAGGAAGCACAACGAAGATAGCCAATTCGCAAAGTTTGTTGAGATGTTGAAGAAACTCGAAGTAACTATGCCATTCACTGATGCTATTTTGCAGATTCCCTCGTACACGAAGTATTTGAAGGACATCCTAACCAAAAAGAGGGTCGTTGAGAAAGAAACCATAGCGCTTACTGCCGATGCAGCGCTTTGATCCAACAGAGCTTCCGCTTAAGCGGTCCGATCCAGGTAGTTTCTCAATCCCTTGTAAATTGGGTAATGTTTCCATCGATCTACTCTGTGATCTAGGATCCGGCGTCAGTCTTCTTCCATTATCGATCTTCAAGAAGCTGAATGTGGGTGAGCTAAAACCCATTAGAATGACTCTTCAACTTGCCGATCGTTCCGTTAAATACCCTGCTGGGATACTTGAGGATGTGCCACTGAAAGTTGGGAATTTCTATATCCCGGTTGGCTTCGTGGTTCTCGACATGGACGAAGACTCTAAGGTACCTATTATTCTTGGTCGTCCATTCCTTAAACTACGGATGTTGTTATCCATGTTAGAGCAGGTAAGCTGACCATGAAGATCGGAGATGAGACGGTGGAATTCACCTTGGACAAAAACCTCAAACAACCGTCATCAACAAGACCTGCATGTTTCATCGACGTCCTAGGACCATCGGCAGAAAAGACTCTGAAGCACGAAAACAACTTTGTTGATCCAGCACATGCAGTTGACCCGATCGTGTCATCTCCGCCACACGATCGTGTCTCATCCGTTACCCAGAACCGAGAGATACACGCAGTTAACCCGATCGTGTCATCCTCGCCACACGATCGTGTCTCATCCTTGATCCAGAAACGAAAGATACTCCAAGTTGACCCGATCGTGTCTACTGCGCAACACGATCATGTCCCAGCACTGATCTGAAACTCAAAATTACAGATGACTCACCCGATCGGGTCTCCCATCTCCACACGATCGTGTCAGGACCCTAATCAGCCACATGACTCGTTTTCACCTCACATGGACATTCACGACCACCCTCGCTCAGTTGAACAGGTCACCACCCTATCAAACCATTATGCTAATATGCTTCATGATCCAGGTTGGCGAAAGATCGATAATCTTCGCCTCTTCGACCCGCATGGTAGTTGAGAAGGTTCGGTCAAGCTAATAACCTTAAACAAGGCTTCCGGGAGGCAACCCGAGGTCTTAGGTTAGTTTTTTTCTTTCTTTTATTTTTCTTTTTGCATCGCATATTGGTTTGTGTCTCTTATCCCTAGTTGAGTTCTAATGAGGAGTTATTGAGGAGGCAAGTAAGCTAGTTATGCGATAGATGTAGGCAGACTTAACTGCGAGTGAATGAACATCGCGAGCTAAGTATTCTTTTTCCTTTTTGATTTGCTTCTCTTTTAACTCATCTTATTAGTTGCCTCTACTAGACGAGAATTGACACCGAGGACGGTGTCCGGTTCAAGTATGGGGGAGTATTCGTCTAACGCCAAACCATATCTATATAGAGTAGTGTTGCATGCATTTTTCCCTTTTATTTTCACATTTTAGTTGCATGGGCATATAGGATGCATTAGGATCATATAGTTTGTTGTTAGGGTTGTGCATTCTCATATAGTGTTTAGGACATATAAGATCACGTGCATAAAACCGTTTTGAGCATTGATGTGGTGATCTATGGCATGAGAGAGTAGAAACGTCCTGGAAACATTGTGATCCGTTGAACGTGGTTATGTTTTGTTGAATAGATTGCTTGACCTTTAGGATTTTCTAGAATGGCTTGTGGGATAGAAATCGTTGGTTGGAACCCATGTGACCGATGTTGTCTAGCCAAGTAGAAAAGTTTCTATAAGAACCTTTCCCATGTTTGCTGAAATCGGTAAAGTCTGTTATCAAATGCATTCTTATTTCTTCATGTGCAGAAAAAGATAGTGAGCATCTCGACACTCCGCTGTCATTATCTCGTCAACGAAAATCGTTCGAGGACATGAGTGAATCGATTTGATGGTTTGGGTCTAAGTTGTGGGTCGGGTTATCCAATCAACAAAATCGAAAAAAAAAATGATTACGAACCCTTCAAATTCAACGTCCTAGGAACACGAGATGCTAGCAAAAGAAAAAAAATGGAGAAAATCTAGCTAGATGAAGAAAAAAAAGGAGAGAAAGAGAAAAAGAATGAATGCTGAAAGCGTAGACTAGATACAATCAGGTAGAATGGTGTAATAGGTTCGAGAAACATGATTGATAGATGATTGAAGTCCTTGGATTGGTTCTGGGTAACGGCAAAGATCCCATGGTTATGAAAGATTATCCTTTAGAGAGTTTGGGATCATACTAGACAGACTTGATCATTGTTCACGGGGATCTAGGTCGGATAGAGATTTCGCTCTCGATTATCATTTTGAGTTATGTCATTGTCTCGCCCTCCTTTCAGACCAATTTTTCACGGATTATTTGCTCGAGGACAAGCAAAGATTTAAGTCTGGGGGAGTTTGATAACACGTATCTTGTGTGATATTTTGATATAGGATATCTAGCGTATTTCACTCGATTTTACATATTTGTAGACATTCTAGGACACATTTGGTTTCGATATTGGTTGGTTGTGTTCTTTGGTGTTTAAGCAGGAATCCACACATAAAAAGAGCAAAAGAGTGGAAAACATGGACTACGGAACATCACAGACAAAACGAGAACATTTGGAGTGTCTTCAGGGAAAACGTGAAGCTCAGAAACTGTTAGATCTTGAAAGTCCAATAACTTTTACTTTACAAGTCCAAATCATGCATTCTCTAAATCATTGGAAAGCTCTCTTCGATATCTACGCATGGACGCCAAGATCACGCAAATCCGATGTCGGAGCAGGAAGTTATGAGCAAATTTGTGAAGCCCGTCAAAACTGCGATATGACACGATTGTGTCATTTGTGTAGACACGATCGAGTCACTTAAAATCCGGAAATTTTCCAGATTTTTCCAAAAGAAAGAGGAGATAATTAGGGTTAGCCTCCAAGATCGAATTCATTCAGACTTTTGACGAGAAAGGGACCCTAGAGAACACGAAAAGAGAGAGATTATCAAGAGGCAAGAGATCGGAGTAGAAGACGGAGATTACGAAGCCGGGAAATCGACTAAGCATTCTTCCTTTCTTCTATGTTACGATATTTTGTTGTATTGATATGAACCCTGCCAACTCGACGATTAGCGAGTAGTTCCATAGTTGTAGGTTAGGGATTTGCTATGTAGGGATCTTTGGTTTTTAATTCAAGACTTCGTGAATTTTTTTATTATATTCAGTTTATTGAATTGTTCTTAATGCGTTCGATCCTGTTAACCGCTTGATTGAATGAACTTAGGGTTTTAATTCACATAGACATATGAGATTCTAACATGGAAATAATTCAATAAATAGAACAGGTATCACATCGGGAGATGGGTATTTGCCTAGGAATCATGATAGCGTTCGTTCATGCGTCCAGAGTTTTAGACTATTGAATTGGAAGATTAGTAGGATTAAACCTGGATAGTGAGATTAGACATGGGAGAGTTAATCTCTACCTTAGAGCTTGAATTCCCTGGATTAAATAGATAAACCACTAAGTTTGCATCTTTTGAAATATCCTTGCATGTAAAGCAATCCCGAAGCATACAGTGTTCATCATTCATAGTTTAGAGTCGTTTTATCGTTTGTTTTGCTACACTCTCTTACACTCATTATTTTATCTGAATCTAGATTTAGGTTTGGATTTGATTTTTTTGACTATTTTTGTCCTTGTTTTCGACCTAGGTACTACTCACGATCCGTACACTTGCGGTATTTGTTGAATCTAGGATATTATTACTTGATCTAATTTCTACACCTAGATTTGCGACATCAGCAGCGAACTAGAGTAGATTCACAATCAATCGAAATGAGTATCACTGGAAAGCTTTGATAAGGGTACTTAGATACTTGAAATATACCCGAAATTATGATTTGTGTTATTCTAGGTATCTAGCTGTGTTAGAAGGTTACATTGATGCTAATTGGATATCATACACTAATGACTCCAAAGCTACTAGTGGTTATGTATTTACCATCGGTGAAGGAACAGTCTCCTGGAAGTCTTCTAGGCAAACGTGTATAGCTTGGTCTACAACGGAGTCCGAGTTTATAGCTTTAGGTAAGAGTGGAGAAGAAGCTGAATAGCTTCGTAACTTTGTAGAAGATATTCTGTATTGGAACAAACCTGTGTCTGCTGTTATGATACATTGTGATAGTACATCAGCAATTAGTATGACACAAAATAGTATGTACAATGGTAAATCTCGACACATACGTTATAGACATAATACCATCAAACAATTGATCTCAAATGGTGTAATAACCATAGATTATATTAAGTCTAAAGAAAACTTAGCAGATCCATTAACGAGAGGTCTTAATCGAGATCAATTGTACAAGTTATCGAGAGAAATGTGATTAAAATCCACGAATTAAAGAATGACCATAGCGGTAATCCAACCTTGTTGACTGGAGATCCCAAGATCTTGGTTCAATGGGAAAACTAAGTTTTGGAAGTCCAGTTGAACACTTGAAAACTTATTTCCATTTCATTCCTAAAGCGATAATCCAAGTGTAAGAAAAGTATGCGTATCGTGGTGAGGTTGAATTCAATCTTGATTTCTTAATGATTCCTACACCTTAAATAAGGTAGAGTGTGGCAGAATATTTTCGACATAAATTAAGTTCGGTAGGTAAGATGACCTATATAAGTTAGGAGTTATGATGGTCGTTCCTATAAGGAAAAATACTTATGAATCCAAGATATGGTCCATGGTGGAACCGGACAACAACATGAGAACAAAAAAGAAAGTAAGAAATATTATTGGGTGAATGTTGGTTGTCTTGGTATACGTTATACAACAACTAGGGGTTCAAGGCATTACGTCTACTAACTGGTTAGTATGTCCGACGGTATTTCACTAAGGAAGGTTCAAGGCAAAAAAACTACTTATCCTTATGCAATTATAATTTCTCAAAACTCTTTAAAATAAACGATTTTTATGCATTCATTAATTTTTATTCCTATTGGGATTGTTAGAAAAATTGAATAAATCCTATATTTGAAATCTACTAAACGAGTAGATAATTATAGCATTTTGAATTTCTTAAAACCAATTTGTCTTGGATGAGAAATTAATATTTAAATGTGG